CCCAATCTCCACTCAGAGGAGCTGAGAACTCGGGGCCCCGCTCCTCAGTGCGCCCCAGAGAAAAGCAGTCACTCCCGTCTCCCTGGTCTCCGGCCGCACTGCGTGCTCACCCGGCCTGTGACCGAGCATTACTATCTCTGGCACCCGACCCCGTGTGGAGTCTCCAAACCCAGCAGATCCCTGCGGTGCACTCCCGCGCCACTCCTCCTGGGGGAGGAAGGGGAGTCTCCCCGGATCTGCCACTTGTTGGGTCCCTTCCAGTAAGTGGTCGCTTCTCTGTTTAGAGAGTTGTTTCTACTCTCTTCTTCGGTCTCCTGTTGAGTTCGTAGGTGTTCAGAATGGTTTGATCCCTATTCAGCTGAATTCCTGAGACCAGACGAAATCCAGGTCTCCTACTCCTCCGCCATCTTGCTCCGCCAGTGTGACTTTTTACTTTATGTATTGCTTTTACTTCATTGTTGCAATACATGTTTTTGGAGTAGACATGTATTTTTATATAATTTTTTTAAAGCTATTTCTATAGTGAGGAAAAAGATAATAAAATGTAATGAAGATCCCATTTATAATTACAATAGAAACATATAACAATTAGAAATAAATTTAACGCCAAATATATGAAGAAAACCTTTAAGGTCTTGATAGACATAAAAGTAACCTAATTATAGTGACATCTATTATTGAATGGGAAATCTTAGTATTATAAATATAGCAGTTCTCCCTTAGATTCATCTATAAAGGTAATGGTTATATTAGTCAGAACAGCCTCGGTTTGTTGCAGTTACAAATTAACCCTGAAATCCCCATGGCTAACACAAGAAAGATTTCCTTCTCAATCATGGTAGGAGGCTCTGCATACAGTTGCTCAGGGACCCAGACTTTCCAAGCTCTGCCTTTTGGAGCTTTACCTCTGGAAATACATTATCTGCAGAGGCTGTGTCAGGAAAATAAAGGAATGAGTACATTCTAGCAATTAAATGTTTTGGCCAGAAACATCACACTTGGCTATTGGTCAGACTAATCACATGACCCCCATGTAACTGCAAAGAGGCAAAAAGGTGTAATCTTTCCTATATGCAGGAATCAAAAGAGAACCAAATATTGGTGAACACGAATGGGTTCCAATAAAAATGCTATTGGATTTTCACAAGTGACCTAGACAAACCATAAAAGTTTATATGAAAAGAATGCTGAGGGGACAAGAGCTATATGGGAAATCTCTGTAGCTTTCCCTCAGTTTTGCTGTGAACCTGAAACTGCTTTAAAAAAATTAAGTCTTTAAAAAAAGAATGCCGAGATAAAGTGGCATTAAGTTAATTCACTGGCCATGTGAGGGAGAAAATGAAGGTAAATCTCTGCCTCACTCATTACTCTAAAATTCCAAATGGATCTAAGAATTAAATGTTAAAGAGAAAAATGGGGCACCTGGGTGGCTCAGTCAGTTAGGCATCTGCCTTTGGCTCAGGTCATGATCTCAGGGTCCTGGGATCGAGCCCCACATCAGGCTCCCTGTTCAACGGGGGAGTCTGTTTGTCCCTCTCTCTCTGCCTCTCCTCCGCTGCTCATGCTCTCTCTTTCTCTCTCAAAAATAAATCTTAGAGAAAAGAGAGAGAGAAAAATGAAACTGGGTGTGTTTTTGTTTTTTTAAGATTTTATTTATTCATTTGAGACACAGAGATAGAGCATGAGCAGGGGGAGAGGCAGAGGAAGAGGGAGAAGCAGGCTTCCTGCTGAGCCAGGAGCCCAATGTGGGGCTCAATCCCAGGACTCTGGGATCATGACCTGAGCAGAAGGCAGACACTTAACCATCTGAGCCACCCAGGCGCCCTGAAACTGAGTGTATTTAGAAGAAAACTTGGAAACAATCATCTTAGAGTGGGGTATATATATCTTTCTAGGCAAAACTCAGAAGCTTTCAAGGAAAACTTGATGAGATTGCTACCTAAAAATTAAATTTCTGTTGCTTCCCCTCATCTCCCCCCAAAATTATAATCAAAGTCAAAAGAAAAAAAATAACGAAATGGGGAGGGGAGGAATATTGGCATCACATGTAGTAGGCCCATTTCTTTAATTTATAATGAGATCTTAAAAATCAAGAACTTTGGGAGCACCTGGGTGGCTCAGTGAGTTAAGTGTCTGACTCTTGATTTCAGCTCAGGTCATGATCTCAGGGTCATCAGATAGAGCCCCACATTGGGCTCTGCACTGAGTATGGAGCCTACTTGGGGTTTTTTCTCTCCCTTTCTCTTTGCCCCTTCCCCCTCAAAAAAATTTTTTTAAAAATCAAGAACTTTGAAGGGTCTTACATTTTGCCCTATTTAATAAATAATGGGATCCTAAAAATCACTATGTTAATAACTATAAAGTATCTGATGTTTTATCTTTTTGGAAGTTAGCCTGTGCCATTTCATGGATGCTGACAAAAGACACATGCTTGGGTCAGAGACAAAAAATATTATTCACAGCATAGGAACAGTATGAACATCATGTTTGGTCAGTTCCTCCTCACCTCACAAGTCCTGCAGGGACCATGTTGAGGGGCCCTTGTGGATGCTGCCCATGCACATAGCCGAGAAAGCTCATCTTCAGGAATCTGAATCTTTTATAATGGGCAGTAAGCAAAACTGTCCTCTGCTTCCAAGGGAGACATTGTCAGTATTCGAGGCTGTTCACTATACAAACATTCTTGGGAAGACAGTCTGGAATAAAAAGGTGGTTGGAGCCTTTGTTTGAAAGATGTGCAGAAACATGAGAGAACCATGGACACTTGTTTCCTAGCAATGTCACATAACATTAAAAATCTGGGCAAAGGACATAAAAAAGACACAAGAAGAGAAATCCACAAATGATTAATAAGAACATAAAACTGAAAGTGTTTCACATCATTCACAATTCAAGACATACAGATTAAACATTAATGGCATACCATTTTTCACTTATCAGTAAAAGAAAAATCAGAAAGGTTGCACCCAGTGATGGCTTATGACGCAGAGAAATGGCTATTCTTATTTGTGCTAATAAGATCTATTGTTAAAAGTATAAAGCAAGGGGGGTTGCCTGGGTGGCTCAGTTGGTTAAGCGTCTGACTCTTGATTTCAGTTCAGGTCATGATCTCAGGGTCCTGGGATCAAGCCCCATGTCAGGCTCTGCACTCAGTGGGGAGTCTGCTTGAGGAGTTTCTCCTTCTCTGTCTCTGCCCCCACTCACTCACACACACACACACACACACACACACACACACACACACACACTGTCTCTCTCTCTCAAATAAATCTTTAAAAAAAAAAGTATAAAACAAGGTGTAGAAATGTGTGAAGAGGATGCTCCCACTGTGTAAAACAGGGGTGTGTGTGTGTTCTTTTATATGAGTAGAATATTTCTGGAAGGGTACACAAAGAATTGGTAACAGTGCTTTACCTGTGGGGAAGAGAACTGGAGGTTGAAGGAAGAGAGAAGACTTTATTTTTTATCCATAATATGGTTAGAATTTTTTTTACCATGTGTATATGTTACCTCTTCAAAAACTTAGATAAAATTTTAAAAGTAAAAATTCCATAAATTGACAAAGGCTAAAAGCAGTGAAACTTGAATAAGACCACACATAAGCAGAGGACATGATCTTGAAGGTCCCTACAAAGAGAAACTTTTTCAGGAAGAGAAGAATTTATTTTCAAGGTAAGAATTTTCATACTTGGGACACCTGGGTGGCTCATTGGTTAAGCATCTGCCTTCGGCTCAGGTCACGATCCCAGGGTCCTGGGATCAAGTCCCACATCGGGCTCCTTGCTCAGCAGGGAGCCTGCTTCTCCCTCTCTCTCTGACAAATAAATAAATTTAAAAAAAAAGAATTTTCTTACTTTGTTTACTTTTCCAATGGAAAAACTAGTTTTTCTAACTTTTTTTTTGTTTTGTTCTTATGTGTATAGGTTTTAAAGTCAAATGAACCAAGGTTCAAATCCCCATTTTCCATTTAGTAGACCTGAACAAATTACTTAATTCGTGAAAGGTTACTTACCTTAGGTAAGGTCTTAGAGAGGCTAAGACCATGCACATAGTAAATGGCAGAACTGAAGTTTCAACATAGGTTCCTCTAACTCCAAAACCCAGTGCTCTTACTCAGTGCTGTGTCCATTGATAAAGCAGAAAAGCAAGGAGGCAGAGCACTTAACAGCATGTATTAGTTTCCTTAGGCTGCCATAACAAAATACCACAGGCTGGATGGCTTAAACAACAAATTTGTTTTCTCACATCTGGAACCTGGAAGTCTAAGATCAGGGTGCCGGCAAGTTGGTTTTGGTGAAGTCTCTTCTCCCAGTTTGCAGACTTCTCACTGTGTCCTCACATGGCCTGTCCTCTGTGCTTACACACAGAGTCAGAGAGCCCTGGTGCCTCTTTGTCATTTTATCAGGATACTAGTCCTATCAGATTAGGGTCCTACCCTTATGACTTCATTTAGCCTTCATTGCCTTCCTAACAGCCCTGTCTCCAGATACAATCATGTTGGGCATTAGGTTTCAACCTATGAATTTTGAGAAGACAGAGTCCAGTCTGTACCACAGGGCCACCCCAGGTCTTGGCCTGCTTCAGGAGACCCCTTTCACCCAGTGTGCAGTCTACACAACCATACACTGTGGCCGTGCCCATTCTTTTTAATAAGACTTTCTTAGAAAGCTATAAAAGTTCAGAAGCTTTATGATGAGCTTCTGAACTGGGACTTATGCTTATATTCTAAGATTTTTAATGTATTTACAAAATTGTAATTAAAATTCACTTTTGTTACTTTATTAGAGCATTAGTTTGGATGAGTTCAAGTCATTTTGTCATTTTACGACCCACTTGGAAGACTTTGCTATTGCTATGCAAATGTTCAGTTTAGCTCATCGTCCTGTCAGACTGGGTAAGTTTTATGACTTAATTTTTATCATCTATACAGTATCACTCTATTCTTTAACTAGAACGCACTGATCAAGGAGCCAGTTATCAGTAAAACAGTTGATTGGCCTTTTAATTCGTTGTGGTTACTCTAGACTTACAGCATTGACTCTCACATTTAACAATTACTTTATTTGCTTTTACTTTCCTTATTTTTCCCCTAAGAAGAAAAAGAGAATATTTAAATACCTTCTTTAAAATATTGATTAAATTAAAATAGCCTGCTTCTCTTTCAATTACTTTCATGACATTTCTCAGCCAAATTTATTATTTTGATATGCTCTTAATGAGTATTTTTGGTTTTGTTTACTTCCCATTAATGAACATTTAGATTTGTTTTTGCTTCTCAAATAATAAAATTTAGATGAATTCCACTTAGACTATTTCACTGTTTCACCATCAGCTATGGTTGATGAGTTCTTTTATGCTTTCTTTCAGCGGAGTTTAAGAGGGCCGTGAAAGTAGCAACAGGACAGGAGCTCTCAAACAATATTTTGGACACCGTCTTCAAGATCTTTGATGTGGATGGTGATGAATGTCTTAGTCATGGAGAGTTTCTCGGGGTTTTAAAAAACAGGATGCATCGAGGTTTATGGGTAAAGATTTTGAGTTTTAAATAATTACATGTTTACATGTAATTGAATGATATTTTACACCTAGAATTTGGACAAATCTATAGTCTTAAATGGAGGCTTTATCATTTAAAAAGAGATTATAAGCTATGATCACAACATCGAGATATCTCCTACAGATGGAATCCAGTATTTTTCTTTGCCTTTATTTTTTATCTATGTCTAATCAGAAACCACTATTCAGAAAACATAGCCTAGAATTTTGCCTTGGGCTCTGTAGTTAAGACACACCTAAATTCAAATCCCAGCTCTGTCACTTACTAACTGCCTAATCTTGCAAAGCCACTTAATTTTTCAGAGCCTCACATTCCTCATCTGTGTACAATGAAGAAACTAATAGAATCTACCGGAAAAAAATTTTTAAATAATCAAGTGCAGAATACTTAGTATAGTGCCTGAGACACTTGAAGTAAATGTTACCCATTATCACTGCATTCAAATTCACATATTGGTCTGTGGGACAAATAAAACTCAAAATTTTGTTTAAAGCGGTCTTCAGGTTGAAAACATGGGTGGAAAGAGAACTATGTGATAAGCAGGTAGTTAGGCCATAAGAGAGGAGAGAAAATGAGGGAGAGGGTATGGGAGGTTCATAAACAAATCTATTTATTTACAATTTAGAAAAGCATGTTCATTTTCCTGCTATAAACATTTATGGAAAATGAATAAATATGATTTCTATTAGCAAACATGTTTTACAAGCTTTGTAGTAGTACCCAGTACCTCATAGTTAACAGTCATATCCCTGGAAATTAAACCAGCCTTTGCAGTTAACAGTTTAATACACTAAGGAGCCTCTTTGCCATTTCTCAAGAGACATTAAATAGAAGACCTGTAAATCGATCAGAAACTTTTGCTTCCATTTGGCACATTTCCAGCAATGCTGTGCTCCTGTGGTCACCAGGATACAAATATTTTCTAACCTTTACTTTGTTGTTTAACTGAGACGACCCATACAGAACCTTTTAATTCACAGAGCACTTAGGTGAATTATATTATTTCTTCTTAAGGGTTCTTATCAAATGTATTGTTTCTTTTTTTTAACTTCAGCAAGGTTAAATCAAAGTTTTAGGCTTATAATTTGTATTCCACTTAGCTAAATAAAGTTCACCATAAAAAGGGAAACATTATAAAATATTATAAAGCATTATGAAATAATTACATTTTAAACCAATATGTGAACAAGATCACCCAAAGTCTTCATTCTCTTCTTAGGGAGGAAGCTCTAATCACATATACTTAGTCAGCCTCCATTCCCTAGTTATCCCAAGGATATTCTTACATCACGTTCACTTTTTTGTCTTTTATCCTGTCTTACTTACAATTCTGTTGCAGTTATCTTTTACAACATAATCCATCTCAAGTACTTTTTGGAGGTGTGTGGGGAATAATAACAGAGCTCACATGAAATCGTGTTTAATCTTGAAGAGAATGATCTCTTTACTTTCACTTTTGGTTAACAGGTACCACAACAACAAAGTGTACAGGAATACTGGAAATGTGTGAAAAGAGAAAGCATTAAAGGAGTAAAAGAAGTCTGGAAACAAGCTGGAAGAAATCTCTTTTAGAAAAAGATAATCTGGGAGTATCCTGCTCCAAATGTCAGAATTTGGAATTTGTTTAAAATACTAGATTTTTGTCTTCTTGGTTTTCTTTGTAATATAAAGATGCCTTGTATTTACTTTCTGAATCAATAATTTCTTAATAAAATTTCATTAAAGAACTTAGTAAAAATAGATACATTCTGTCAGAGGTCCTAGAATTGAAGTAATGCTTTGTACTTTGATAAGATGGAAAACCTAGTTATTCACTGATTTCTTAGACACAGTAGTACAACGTGCTCTTTGGGTGTCAGCTAGTACTTAGAGAAAAAAGTGTTTGATATACAAGGCCAATATCAAGTCCAGGAGTCCTGATGTTTCCAGTAGGGCAAATTAAACTAAAAACTTCTCAGGTTTTCTCATCTGTATCTCATAACTCATAAGCTTCTTGTGTATTTTATTTCAGTTAGCTGTATATTAGTTGTCTTAAAAATAATGTGTAAATTTCAATGTCCTCTGTAGAAACAGAATAAAGTATTTACACAGATAACAATAATTACATGTGTTTTTTTACATGTGTTTTTTAAAGCTTTTTTTTATAAATGTAAATTCTCTCAGTATTGACAACTTACTGGTTTATGTTCTTATAAACTAGTGTAATTGGTGGGGTGCCTGGCTGGCTCAGTCCGTGGAGCGTGCAACTCTTGATCTTGGGGTTGTGGGTTTGAGCCCCACACTGGGTGTAAAGAGTACTTAAAAATAAAAAAAAAATAAAAAAACTAGCGGGGCGCCAGAGTAGCTCAGTTGGTTGAATGTCTGACTCTTGATCTCAGCTCAGGTCTTGGTCTCAGGGCCATGAGTTCAAACCCCATGTTGGGATCCACAATGAGCATGGAGCCTACTTTAAAAAAAAAAGGCAAACAAAAAAACTAGTGTGATTGGGGAATCTTGATCACAAGATCAGGGTCTCATGGGATATATTGGGTTGTGGGTAAATGTTTAAAATGGCACTAAAAATTAATTGGCATTAAATATAAAATGCTGTTATTAATAAAATGGCATTTTTTAACACAGTAAGTGAAAATTATTTTTTAAAAATATGCTTCTCAAACAAGAATATTGCAAATATTTAAAACACATTGCATTCCCTGGTTAAATGGCTGACTCTGAGACTGGAGCAGGAAAAGTACAAGATGAACCTGGAAGTAAAGAAGTAGTCAAAAAACAATGAGGACATACCAAAAGGGCAAGAGCCACTTGAAGGAGCCCTCCCTGGCCAAATATGATACAATTTCAGTAACAAAGTAATTAATGTCAGTAATGGATCATAACCTATTGAATGAATTAAGAATCAATGAGCTTAACACTGATAATTGATTAATGGGACAAGAGGAACCTCTCCCTTACAGCTGCTACATGGAAGACTCTTGTTTGAATAATGCTTGAGAATGACAAGTGGTAAAAGCTTTTGTCCAATTATTAAAAAAAAACATTTATTTTGGTGCTGATTAGGAAACATAAATTTGTTCTAACTCATCATTTTAGGAATAACTAATTTTTGTATTTCTTTATTGTAAAACCAAACCAAGAGAAAAGATAAGCAGTGCAAATAGAGGATGTGCATCCTCCCATCATCTCCTCTTAGCCATAAAAATACTATCTGACTCCTACCTGACTGCCCAGTTGTCCTTATGGGTAAAGATTAGGGGTATAAAAGTCAAAACCTAGGATAGTTTCTGGTGTTTTCACAGTCTCAATTTTTCCAGCTTCTACCTGGCACTACCTCTGCCCACTTTCCTCAGCATCCAATGAATACTATGCTCCAGCCCTATAAAACCTCTGACCTTGGGTGCCTGGGTGGCTCAGTTGGTTAAGCAACTGCCTTCGGCTCAGGTCATGATCCTGGAGTCCCAGGATCGAGTCCCGCATCGGGCTCCCTGCTCAGCAGGGGTCTGCTTCTCCCTCTGACTCTCCCCCCTCATGTACTCTCTCACTCTCTCTCTCAAATAAATAAAATCTTTAAAAAAAAAAAAAAACCTCTGACCTTTCCCCACTTACACCCATGCTTTTCATTTTCATGTTTCCCTACCTCCAAGCCTTTACACACCAGCTTCTCCTGATGGCAGTGATTTTTGCTCTCTCATCATCGTGGCAAAGTTTTAGAAATCCACTTGCTGCCTACATGTCAAGTATGTCTCTACCAAACTGTTAAATCAGGATTAGGAACAGTGCCTTGTCATCTTTATATTTTTTATGTAAAATGTATATATTTTTATAATAAATATTTTAAAAATATAAAATTTATGTAATTTATAAAATTTTATATGAAATATATGTTAAAAAATAATATATATAGGGGAACCTGGGTGGCTCAGTCAGTTAAGCGTCTGCCTTCAGCTCAGGTCATGATCCCAGCATCCTGGGATCGAGCCCTGCATCGGGCTCCCTGCTCCGTGGGGAACCTGCTTCTCACTCTCCCTCTGCTGCTCCCCCTGCTTCTGCTTTCTCTCTCTGTGTCAAATAAATAAATAATCTTTAAAAAAAATTCTCATATCTAACCCCATTCTGTTTAAAATATATATACATAATTTAAAATTTTTAAATCTAGCTGAGGACCTGGCTTATAGAAGGCATCCAACAAATATTTGTATAAAGGAAGGAAGAGGAGAATGGGACAGAGAAGGAGTGGAAGAGAAATAGGGAAGGAAGGCTTGTAACGTCCATCAGTTAAGTATGCAAACAAGAACCTGCCGGGTTGCCAAACATAAAATGGTGAATTAAGACAAATGGTCACTCTTGTCATGGAACATATAGTCTAAAGGTAGAGACTGAAAACTAACCAGGAAACATTTTTTAAGATTTTATTCATGTATTTGAGAGAGAGAGCATGAGCAGGGGGAGGGACAGAAGGAGAAGCCGACTCCCCACTGAGCACGGAACCTGACGTGGGGCTCCATGCCAGACTCCAGGATCATGACCTGAGTCCGAAGCAGAAGTTTAACTGACTGAGCCACCTGGGTGGCTAACCAGAAAACTTCTTAAATATATCATCATAAATTAAGATTTTTTAATAATAAAGCAGTGTTAGAGAACAGAGGAGTAGACTTTCCTAAAACAGGAGTTTTCAGGGACTGAGGAGACAATTTTCAATTTTTCCAAGACAATAGGAAATGTCCTACAACCAAAAAATGAATAATTCATTTTCATCATTATCGTATGATTGCTGCAAACAACTTGATCCCATTTGAAAAAGATATGGATAAAATATTTGTATCAAATAAGCAAACTAGGTTTGCTAGTGTCTCCTCTTAGCAGTGTGGAGGCAGTCACCTTGAAAGCAGCTGCACTTCCTAATCTGAACTGAATCTTTGGTCCTTTCCTTTTCTGTGATTTTATGGAATAAATGATCATTGAGTCTCCTGATACTTCGGTGGTTAGCTTGTACTTCTCCGCTTATCTTGAAGGCAGGGAGGGTGGCAGTTATCCTATCCTGAGTCCTGCCTCCACCTCTTTTCTCCTTGTCCACTCCCTTAGGAGACCTTATTCTCACCTCTGGCTTCTGTTCCCTCCCCCAAATTTCGGGCCCAGTTACCTTCTGGATGTCTCCATTTTGTTGGTCCAACTCAACATGTCCAAAACTGAGCTGATCATCTCCCCCTCTTTTCCCAAACCTTGCTTCTTCACGTGTCCCTCTCCTTCAGTGAGTGTCTCTCAATAGACCAAACCAGGAACCAACAGTTGTCCTAGAATCTTATACTCCCTTATTCGTCCATATTGAATGAAGTCCTGTCAATTCCACTTCCTCAAAATCTCCCAAACTTGTTCTCCGCCTTCCAGCCCCATTGCCACTGCCTTAGTTCAGGCCCTGCGTGATTAGTTATTACTTAGATCACCACAACAGAATCCTGGTACCCTCCAGGCCTGGCCCCCACTAAAAGCACAGTGATTAAGCATCCACGCTGGTGTTAGACTACCTGGATTCAATCTCAACTCCATCACTTAACAATTTTCTAATCTTTGGCAAGGTACTTAACTTTTATGTGCCCATTTGCTCATCTAAAAAGTGGGAATGATTGTAATTCCAATGTAATAGTGTGTTATGAGGATTAAATGAGACATACATAAAATGCATGGGAGCAAATCTTCATTATGTGTTAAATTACTGTTGTTAACTTCTTTCACCAGATTTAATTTTTTTTTAAGATTTATTTATTTTAGAGAGAATGAGAGAGCGTGAATGAGCAGAGGGAGGGAGAGAGGGAGCCCCATCATGGGGCTCAGTCTCATGACCCTTAGATCATGACCTGAGCTGAAATCAACTGAGCCACCCAGGTGCCTCACACCAGATTAATTTTTCTAAAACAAATCTGATCATGTCACCACTACTGACGATCCTATGACACTACAGTCACTACAAAATAAAATTCAACTCCTACATGATCTTGCCCCCCACCCCCCGTCACCTAGTTCTCTGGCCTCATCTCCTAAAACTCCCCCACACACCTTACACCAGAATTACTTGCTAGCACCCCAGCTGGCCATGTTCTCACTCTCCAAGTATTTGGACTTGCTAGCGCTCTGGAAGATGTTTCCACCTGGCTAACTTCTTCAAGTCCTACTTCATTTGTGAAGTTTCCAATTTTTCTCCCTGCTTTTCCCTCAAACTCATTTAGGCATTCCCCCTGTCAGCTCCCTCAGCATCTTTTTTCCACCTCTTTCAAACCTCACCAAGTATACTGGAATTTTTCATTTGCCTCTCTCACTCAACTAATAGCTCATTAAGAACAAGGATCTATAGTTCTTTGAACACCATCTCCCCAGGATCCATCAAAGAGCTGGCACATAGTGGTTGTTCAAAAAATATGTGAGAAATAAAGAATAAAAAAGGAAAAGGAGGGAGGGAGGGAGGAAGAAAAAGTGAGACAAGTAATAATCCCCATATGTGCATGACTTTTCCTGATATTTCAGCTTTTCTGTTACAGGACTGGGCAGGAAAAAGAGAAGAGCCCTCTTAGGAGCTGCCTTCT